AAAAACTAAAAGTCCGCACTGAACGAACCCGAACAGCTGATGAACAGCAGTCGATCTGCGCACGCAAGGAGGTGCTATTCCTATTCTTCTTCTGGAGAAACGAAAGAGAGCTTCAAAACAGACTGCAGCGCCATCTGAAGCAAAGAGTGGACTTCCGGCAGACGCTTTTTTGGCTGAGTGGATCATCTTGTAATGTACTATCTTTGACCATGTTTTGCTGATTGTGTTCCCTAAAACTCGTTCAAGGCCTCTCTATCAGGTTGGGTGACGTAGGGGGTACATCGTTTAAATGAAAATAACCTGGTGAGTTTGTCTCATAAGAACCAAAAAAGAAGTAAATGTATTAGTGGCCTTGTATAAATAGATCTATGAGTATGACCGATGCAATTTTGTCGCTCTCAAAAAGAAACTGAAAATGGAGGTTATCATGACATGAAAAGGACGAAAAATCATATATACTATAAAATAACAGTCTTGATTCTTGGCTAACTGAAGAGGATCACTGCTTAAATTAATACTTTTAGAATTTCAAGTCGGTACCATGTCGAATACCTGCGCAACCTAAGAAATACTAGATACCAAATATAACTTTGCAATTTTCCAACAGGTTTTGGAAAAGTCCTTTAGACTTTTTGACAAGAGGATTAAAAACCTGCACTATGTTCCGCTGTCTGTCAGAGCGCGGGTTAGTTTTCTCATCATTTAGTTTATCTTGTTTTGATTCACTTTTTTTTTTCTTTCAATGCCATGTGCCTTATATTTCATGTCTTTTTTGTATACTACAGGTAATCTGAACTTTGGCGGTAAAATGTTTCGAGCCTTGTGTGACCCCAATGGACCAACGCCGTGCTGCTTCGAGTACAAGTGTGTCAATAAAACTGTAGGCCAATGTAACTGCAGCACTTGTTTTGATCTGAGGCCGGAAATACACGCCGACTTTGGATCTTATGTCTTGAAAGAGCCGGCTTGCAAGGTGAACATTTGGTTTTCAATCTTTCATTTGTATTTTGTCGTAGCTGAGTTGTAACTCTTGCTATGTGGTGAATGTGTTGTCGTAAAGAGACATTGTGCTAGTGCTTCGGACTTTTTTTCTGCTGATCAACAGCCTTTTTTAAGTTGAGCACAACCTTTGTACACAGCGAGAAAAAAACTCAGAAATGGCAGTACGCTCGTATATTGGAATCAAACTATTATCAGGCGCAGTCACAGGACTTTAAGAGACAAATGACTCATATACAAATGATACTTATTACTATCAGCATGAGAATACAATGAAGTGAAGAAAAAGTTTGAGCAAGGAGAAGTGCGTCGACTCAAAAGCTGGCTTTGTGTATTAGGACTGACAAACAGAAGCCAAAAGGGGAGAGTGGCAGAGGAGGACCTAAATGTGGCACCCTCCAAAAACCTTTCACATACAAAAATTCACACAATATACACTCTCTCTCTCTCTCTCTCTCTCTCTCTCTCTCTCTCTCTCTCTCTCTCTCTTTCTCTCTCTCTTTCTCTTTCTCTCGTTCCCTCACTCTCTCTCTCTTTCTCTCTCTCTCTCTCTCTCTCTCTCTCTCACACACACACACACACACACACACACACACACAAACAGACACACACACACACACACACACACACACACACAAATATATGCACCCACTCGCAGACACTCATACACGCACACATGAACACACACAAACACACCCAAACACACATATTTTTAAAAAACTATATACCTACCAACCAACCTACATACCCCCACCCTTTCAGCCACCAGCACATTTCAATCACCCAAGACGGCTTAAGAATACTTGTGGGTCTACAGTAAAGGAATACTAGCACAACGGTGTTTCAGGGATCGGGATATCCAAGATGAAAAAAGGAAGAGAAGAGCATAGAAGCCAAGGCACAGAACGCGATATCCACAGAAGAGCAACAGTATGAGGAAAGTTGAGCATTTCCTTAATCGCAGTCGAAAAGCAAAGTGAGTGAACAGACGAGAGGAGAAATTATGAGAGGCAGACACGTCGTTTATTTTATTTTATAATATTTTTGTTCTTTTCTTTTTTTAGGAAGTGGCGTTGCTTTTAAGATGCATATGTTTTACGCCCCCCTTCCCCTCCCCCACAAAAGATCGACACAATTTAGACCATTTAGGGGGTCCTCATTGTCTACAGATAAAGCTGTTCGCCTTTAATTCAATAGGTCCCGGGTTCGAATCCTGATAGCAACGGCAAATGTTCTTCTCTAAAATTTTCTCCTTTTAATCCTTTCCTGCTCTTTAACAACGTTCTGTCGTCTGCTTTTGTCCCCACTTTCTGCCCCCACCCACTCACCTCCTTTGCCCCCATCCTCTGGGCTTCTGACTCTTTCTGCAACCTCTCTATTGCTACTCTTTGGCTCCTTCTTACTACTGTCTTTCAGCCACATCCCTGAACTTATGGTCGGAAAGATCTACATCTAGTCTTCTCGGACAAGGGCGAAAAATCCCGAAGGTCTCGTGTGCAAGTTGTGCACGTTAATGATCCCTTGGTGGTCAAAAATCGAGAGTAGGCTTCCCCACCCTTGCAAAAAATTTTTTTTACTACAAACTGAAAATGTTTAATCGGTCCCACACGCTCATATGACCTTATGCTGTTGCAAGCGCCATAAAACACTTACTAACAAAAAAAGAAAGACCATTTAGGAAACAGGCTTCCGACCCAGGCTGAGAAGGATAAAACATTAA